GTTCTTTTCTTCCTAGGGGAAAATGCCCAGGCCCGTTGAGAAGATCTGCAACATGGTATGGTTTTAGCAGAAAATAAATGGTATGGGTGCTGTTAGGCAGCAGGGAAGGGCTTGGAATAGTTCCCACCCTCCCCCGTCCTGGTTTCACCGTGGAGTGCAGGTGCCATGCGAGGAGGACCCGGAAGCTCCTTCACCTCCAGGCTGGGGTGAAGCAATTGTCTCAGAAGGTGGCTGCAGAGCTTACTACGGGACTGCCATGGTGAGGAGGGAAATGACCTTGTGGCAGAAATGCCCTGAAAACTGACCATAGGGAACACTAACCCAACCCCTGGAAGAGCCCCCCCAGCCCGAGGGATGGGAGGCACAATTAGGAGCCACAGTAGAGCTGAGGAGTAGGTCAAGTTCCTCCTGAGCCAACACCGAGTCACCATAAGAGAGAAAAAATCGAGAGGTATAACTTGACCCTGCGCTGAGTGTGGCTGCAGCAGGGATCTCAGCTTGTGTCCCCAGGAGCCGAGGGACGCAGGAGCCCTGCATTCGTTCGGCCCTTGGGACCCACACTTCTGCCTGGCTTGTTGGGAGCACCTTTCTTGTGCTGGGAAAGGCAGCTGGCTGCTTCTCTGTTAGGTAAGAGATATTTGTGCTCCCTTCAGGAACAGGAATACTTTACTGAAGAATATTCGAAAGTCTAAAGCTTTAGGAATCTCGTTTGTTTAAAGTAGTGGATGGAAAGCAAACATACAAGTGGCTCACTGGGATCCACAAGACCTCAAAGAGGAGCTGAGCCAGACATGGAGCTCTCAGGCCCTGAAATAGCATTTGGTAGCTAGTGCACCAGGCCAGGGCCAGAAAATTCATTTTGGAGTTTGCTAATTTGAACAAGATCTGGCTTCTAAGTCCACAGGAGCCTTGTCCATCTTCCCAGTATGGGCCATCCCAGTGAGAAAACCCCCACATATCTGAAGCAATGGGAATTTCTTCTTCTCCCACTGCCTTCCGAGGCTAGAGCCTAGAGCTTCCATTCCCCTTCCTCGCCTGCACTGCTCCAGATTCTAGGCCTGCCCCCAGGGATGAAGTGATTATGGGCCAGGACAAAAGCAGTCAAGCTCCGTGGTCTTCCTCACTCTGCTCCCCAGTTGTCTGTCTTAGAGGCAATGCCCTCCCTCTGTGCTCTCTCTTCCCATTTTCCCTTGTTTCACAGAAGTGCCACTTCCTGGTGATTAAGAGCCCAAGAAAATCATCTTCTGGTCTTCTGTACCTATTCTCACATCAAGACAAGCACTTTGCGTGGATGTGTGACAACAGGGGGTTTCATCCACTAGGTGCTGTGCAAAGCCACTACTACTGCCCACACATGGACTGAAGGGACAGGTTATCAAGAAAGAAGTGTCCTGGGAGACTGTATTAGTCAGCTTAGGCTAAATTCTAAAGTAACAAACCACCTCCAAATCTCAGTGGCTTCTAATGATGATGTTTTATTTCTTACTCAGGTTACACATCCTTCACAAGCTGGATACCCAGGTGGATGGAGACGCCTTTACCTGGAACACTGCTGGTCTCATGGCAGAGGAGACTGGCACGCATAGGCTACCTCATAAAGCTTCAGTTTACAAGCTGCACGGGTCACTTCTCCCATTTTTCATTGGACAGAGCGAGACATTTGGCCACTCCTGAGTTCAACATGGTGAGATACATAATCCTCTTGCAGGAAGGGATTACCAGATGCCAAAGGCTAAGTTTGACATCAATGGGCAGGATGTATAATCCCCCCATAGGCAAGGGTGGAGATTTTGACCAGTGATACGGTCTGCCATAGTGTATATACAGCTAGTCTTCCCACTTCCCCAGAGCATCGTTAGGACTCCTTTGCTTTTTCATCCCATCCGTAGCTCTTGTGCTGTCAGGGCCTCTATTCTAGGCCTAGAGCACCACCCCCAGGGCCTGGAGCCTCCCTCAGTATCTGGGTTGATAAGGGAGAGTTCCTGGTCCTACTCTAGTGGGTGACAGGGGTTTTTGGTGTCCCCAAATCCCAGAATATGAGACTATTGAAGTGATTTCCAACACAGGGCGTTTGGGTTCTCCATAACTCAATGGCAGCGTAAGTGATATAGGCGTCTACAGACTGCCTGAGAATCTCTTCACCATCCTGTAGCTCTCTCGGTGAGCAAATGATTTCTGAGTTCCAAACAACTGAGCATACTATGCTGCCAGAACACAGGCTATGTAGCCCACAAACATCACAGACAAAGCAAGAAGCTATGAGGCATGAATAGTATCTTTAACATCTTATATTTGGAAAAGCAGTTTTAAAAAAACACTTGAAAATACAAGATAAGGTAACAGTGACTTATATACGTTTCACCTTATATTGCTTGGCCATTTTTACATTTAAATTATTGCTTACTAGCTTCGATAAATACACAGCACAGTCATATATACAGAAGCAGAAAGCATGATATATGAGAAAGGAAATACTGTTAATGGCAATTCTGGTAATTCAACAAATGTTTCATATTTACCAGCTCTTATAATGGTGGAAAACTACAAAGTGTAGTCCCTGAGAAGTTAGGTAGACACCCTGATTGTGGGTTTTCTATCTTCTAATTGTTAACGCAAGCTGACAATGTCACAGCAGTCCTAACTAATGATACATTAAAAGGCAAGAGTCTTTGCTTCAGGTCATCGATTTCATCCCAGTATTTAATAACAGTGTAATAGGAATACAATAAATAGGCTATGCAAATAAATATTACTCTGCTAAAAAACGTTTAGTATATACAGCTTTGCTTTATACAGTAGTACATTTTCATCTAACTTTTTGGCAATTTTTAAAAACTTTTTTCCCCCTACTAGTTTTAAGCACAATGGCCCACTCATTAATAAGCAGGCTGAAATTTTAAGGACGTGTCTTTGAAGCATTGAAAAGAAACTCCATGTTAGACAACTGCAGTGGACCTGGTCTTTCCCATTATAATGTTTTTGCCTAGTTTCTGAGAAGCTTGGATTAGTTGTGCCATTTGGGAACACTAAGATTGGGATTTGTGGTGTACTGGCTGTAATAAAATGACAGGGCTGGGACTGGGGCAGCAGTGAAGGCCCAGCTCCAGGGACCAGAAGTCACGGCACCCTCTCTTTCCTGCAACTGTTTCTCCCCACTCCGAGGCAAGGATACATTTGTGCAACATCTTGTCCCTACCAACTGGCAGGTGTGGGTTTTTACTTTATCCTCACGCTTCTGAATTCAATGTTTGCTCCATCCGACTTGTTTGTGGATAGGAGTCTAGGAAAATGAATTTATTCTAAACATAATTAATGGTACTAGAATAAAGTGAATGTAGGCCATAATATTTATCACTACAACCGTTTAGCAATTGTACAGATTATAACAAAGAGTGAACTTTACAACACTGTAGCCTTTGGAGCATCTGCAAATGTGTATGGAAAAAAAACATTCAGAAAGGTTGCAATTTTGCCTACAGAAACTTGTCCTGTGCTAATACCAAAGCAGGGCTGGTTTGCTGGAATGCTGACAGATCCACAGACCTGCAGGACCGTCTGGGAGCTGTGCTGCAGCAAAAAGAACCCACTGAGCTGTGTCTGTGCACCACTCGCTGGTGAAGGTGGCAGATTACCAGAGATTTTCAGAGTGAGCGGAGATTTTATGTGATCGTAAAAATCTACGAGAGCTGGAAAGAAGCATAGACATCTTCCAGTCCACCCTTCTAGCCAGAACAAAACCTATTCCAAAGGGGCCTTGGCAAATATTTGGAGAGGAAATATGGCCCATCTTTAACAGGGAGCCGCTTAAGTCCTGTGGCGGCCTGTTCACTGATGGAAAGCGCAGATTCACTAGAAAGAGCTTCATGTCGAGCTAAATCTGGTTCCCACAATTCTGCCTTGAATTCTTTAATTCCAGTTTAAGTCCTCTCAGAGCTTCTGAAATTTCTGAGAGCTGCTGCCTGGGAAATCTCTGGAGACAGTTGTTAAATTTCAGAAAGACTTGGAGATCCTGACATTCAGAAGACAAGGATGGAAAAGCAAATGTAAACTAAACAAAATCCTCCCTTCCCTTGGCTGCCCTGAGAGCCACATGACCAGGCCGGAGGAAACGGTGGACAAGCACTATTTTCTCCAGGCTGTTTCCACTCATGCCATGTGGGATACTCTGACTACACCATCAAAATGTGTTCAAACATGATGCATGTGTGGATTCGTTTGGCCATGTACATATTTCAATTGAGGTCTAAGCAGCAAGTGCTATGCTGAAATAGTTCTCCACTGAAAATCAGTCCTCAAGAGGTAACATTCCAGTTGGAGCAACGGAGATCTAATGTGAATAAAAATTTAAATTGTAAAACATAGAGACAGTGTCAAAATGGCCTTCCAAGATTAGATTGGCCAAATATTTCTCCCTAGCCTAGAGAAAAGACCAGAACACATGCTTGTGCGGTAAGCCCATGCTATCCCCAGTAATTGCCAAGTACTATCCCCAGTAATTGCCAAGGGGAGCGCTCATCTAGTGATCAACCATGAGAGAAGTCTGTTTGCCCTGGTTCCAGTGGCTCTGGCCTCCTCCAGTGGGTCTCATTCCATTCCCAGCAGCCTGGAGCATTTCTCTGAGTGGGCCAGCCCTGGATGGTGCCTTTCTATAAAACCTTGTTAATTTTCAGGAATGAAGTTTTACATGCCAGACAGACGTGGTTCCTTCCAGTGATCTCTCAAACCCACTGTATTTCCCAAGCCCAGGAAACAGCACGGCTATAAAGGTGTCAGAAAGCATCGGACACACCTCAGTAATGAGGTGTTGATGAGACAAAAGGAAGCAGTTCTGTATGGGCACCTAAGAGATGCAGAGGCAGGAGTGGTGACAAGTGCACCAGGATTCATGCGAGTGGAAAGTGAATGAACCTAATACACAAAGCAGGGCCCTTGTATTTTAGCAACGTGACAAGGATCTAGCTGGCAGGGGTGGATTTCATTGTATCCCATAGGCTTTTTTGTTCATTTGAAGGTGGGGGGAAATCCTCTAACCAGTTCTTGAGAATAGCAAGAGGTCTTATTTACTGTAGGAGCCCCCATCTGTAAAAATGGGAATAAAAAAAGACTTAAAAGACTCTGAGATTTTGGGGAAAAAAAGACAAATTATAGAAAGGCTCCCTGCCTTGGTTGGGAGGTGGACTACAGGACTTCTAGGTGTCCAACGTAAACCAGACATTTGGATATTTCAGGGTGCTTTTCATTTGCTGAAAGATGGGCAATCACCACCACCGTAATACCTTGCTCTTCTCTAGGGAGTGCTAAGTGCTCCACACATGAAATCCTACTTAACCTCCCTGTGCTGGCTGTTACCATTCCACACTGTGGGCAAGGAGCCTGGCGGAGGCATGCAAAACACTAGGGCATCATCAGGCACAAGAATGCAGACTTTTGTGACTCTATCACCTCAATAAACAGTCACTGAGTACCTACAATGAGTCAGGCACTGTACTTTTTCAAAAATCATATTGTTCCCAATAAGAGATGAGAGCCTGCTTGCACATGTAAAGAAAATCTCCAGAAATTAAACAATGAGTCAGTTTCTTAAAGATTACTATTTTTCCTTGTTGGCAAAGCAACTTAGTCTAACTTGCCTATAGTTGCAAATCAGTTGTGCAGAAACAAATTCACCTGCAAGCATACATCGATAAGTGATTGTGGATGCAAAGAAATGCATGCCTTGACATTCCTTCTGGAAATCAGAGCATGGATGCCAGCTGCTGGTCCTCCCTAGCTTCCTAGATACAAGTAGCTTTGGTGATGTCACAGTTTGTATCCACAGAGACTGTTCCTTCTCCCTGGAAATCTACAGATGCCATCACTGTCTTTAGATATTCAAATGAGCTCCTCCTTTGACAGCCTATAAATATTAATCTACTACCCAGCCAAGTAGAACTTCTCCCTGTTTCCCACACACTCTTGCTGAAATATTTGGCCACCGTATGACATGACACGTTCTCTTGTCTTGTCGCTGGCACATCTCAAATTGAAAGCTGGACTGGGTCAACAACGTGACCCTAAGAAACCAGGCTTCTCCATTTCAAGAATGCTTCTGACCCTTCTTCTGCCTTCGTGTTCCGAGAGCAGCGTGGGGAGGCCTCTCCCCATCTCTGGTGGCTGACATCACTTCCTGAGCACGCTTTGGCTGGCTTTCCTGTGTGTGTCGTGTGATATGCTGATAAAACTCAGCAACTTCTTTTCTCACAGGAAAGCAACGTGCTTGGCACTGACATTCCCATAGCTCAAAGTGCTGCAGTTATGGGGGTGGTGAGGCGGCGGGCAGGGTGGCGGGGCTCACACCCGAGGCTCAATCCTGTGTGAGAGCTCAAACAGGGCCTGCTGGCTGTCAATGACATACAGGTGATTAACGTAGGATTTCAACTCTTGGTGCTCTTTTGGAGACATATCACTTCCTATTTTTTGGAGGAAAAAAAGAGAGTCAATCTCAAGAGCAGTAATGCTATTTATAAATACCAGTAAAACCCCACATTAAGGCTTAGAGTAAATCTACCAGGTGGACTCTTGAGAGACATCTTTATTCTAACAGTGGAGATGCTTTTTCAGCTCAGACTAGATCCCTCAGGCCAGGTAATTAGATGGCAAGGTATTTGTTTTACCGACATTTATATAGCATTTATTACTTAACATTATATAGTATTTAGTGATTATGTTATTATCCCCCTTGACAGAATGGCAAACAGCACGGACACACAGCAAGTAAGTGGCACAGCAGGACTGAAACCCAGGCCAAGTGGCTCTGAGTCCATGGTCTGAGGTCCCATGTCACAGCAATTACCCATTTAAATAGCTTTCACTGGCTCTTATATCTCAGTCTGCAATTGTCAGAAATCATTGCCAATCTGGTGAGTGCATGGGCACAATAGTTTTTTTTTTTTTCCTTAGATTTTGTATAATCCTTTGGTGTCTTTATTTTTTGAAAAAAGAAAAAATTAAGGGACTAACTGAATGAATAGATATCACAGAACTGAACTTAAGGTATGGTTAACAGGCAGAGTGGGTTCCGAAAGCATGTGGATGGGCTAACGTCTACCCAGCAAAGGACAAGGCAGGGGGGTTTCCACCCCAAATCCAGGGTGCTTAAAGAACGGAAGGGCCACAGAGGCTTTAGTGCACTGTGAACACGTACATGCCATGCTGGTGACAGGATGATAAGGAACCAGAGATAAAGTAGCTGGGACAATGGGGCAAATGGGGCAAACCCACTTCCCATAGTCAAAAACAAACAAAATCCAAACCAAACCAAACAAAACAAAAGGACCCCAAACCTCAAGGCACTGGGAGACTGGCTAAACTGCGCTATAGTGAGACAATGTCAATGCGAGTGCCGGTGACGTCACATCCTCTGGCTTCCTGGAATTTCAGATGGGAGAAGCAGGGTGTGAGACTGGAGTCCAGCTTGAGCAGAAGGACGGGGCCTGCAGGAGGCTGAGCATTTCAATGCAGCAATTTTTTCTCTTGGTGAAAACCCGTTTTTTCCTCTTCCATGGCAAATGCATTTTATAATTTAAGGCTTGTATGTCATGGGTGGCTTGTAATTCTTAGGTTTACTAGACACAAAGCTTCCTGGTTTCAAAAAGTAAAAGCACCAGGAGTTATCTCACTTGTTTGAAAGTGATCAAAAAGCTGTATTATTCTAGAACACCTTCTTTGGAAGACACCGAGAGACTGCTTTGGTTTAGAAAACATGATGCTACAAAGATAATTTCATGACAAAAAATAACAAGTGTTGGAAAGGATGTGGAGAAAAGGGAACCCTCATTCACTGCTGGTAGGAATGCAAACTGGTGCAGCCACTATGGAAAACAGTATGGAGATTTCTCAAAAAATTAAAAATAGAAGTACCTTATGATCCAGCTATCCCACTTCTGGGTATTTATCCAAAGAACTTCAAATCAATAATCCAAAGAGGCTTATGCACCCCATGTTCATTGCAGCATTATTCACTATAGCCAAGATGTGGAAGGAACCCAAGTGTCCATCAATAGATGATTGGATAAAGAAGATGTGGTGTATGTACATACATACATATATATATAGTGGAATACTACTCAGCCATAAAAAAGACAAAATTGTCCCCTTTGCAACAACATGGATGGACCTGGAGGGTATTATAAGTGAAATAAGCCAGACAGAGAAAGACAAACACTGTATGACCTCTTTCATGTGTGGAATATAAACTAACACACGGACAGAGAGAACAGTTTAGTGGCTACCAGAGGGAAGGGAGTTGGGGGGTGGGCACAAGGGGTGAAGGGGCGCATTTATATGGTGACTGACAAATAATAATGTACAACTGGAATCTCACAATGTTATAAACTTATGACATCAATAAAAAACAAAAAAGATGACAATGAATGGTTCCAACCATGACACCTGACACTTGAATGGCACTTTATAATTTATGAGTGGCTTGACTAACATTATCTCATTATACCCCAAATGCTGACATTGGTTTACTATGCCTATATAAACTTTCAAAATGAATTTAGATAATTCAGTCCCAAACCTGATTTTTAAAGATATATAAATGTAGAACACAAACAGGCCTGATAGTTGTTTAAATTTCTCCTTTGCTTTGTGCTATGCAGACTTACTCTCTGGTGATGGGAGGTTCAAGACAGGGCAAGGCCAGCCAAGCCAGTATAACCTTCCTGTCCACACTTGCAGCGTATATAAACCAGAGTCCTTTGGTAAATGAGACTGATGTCTTAGAATTAGCTGAGTACCCATAAAAACTTGAGAAGCAAAGGAGGATGAAATAAATATGAACCCATTACTCATCAGCAACCTTATGCTTGTACATTTGAATGGATCTCCATGACAATGTTATTATCACTGTTTCTATTATAATTGCATTGTGCTTGTATACTTACTGGAATTATATAAGCACATATCAAATGGTATTAACTGATGTGAATATTTAGAAAATTAAGTCCTGTATTTATAATTATTCTTTTCAAACAGAAACTCTGTAATTCATACAGAAGTTCAGTTGCTTTATTGAGGGACAAGTTACTTTATTGCCAGCCAAGACCAGCCCAGACACAAAAGAAATTCTTAAGAATATGTGCCTGTTCTTAGGAAGTGGGACTTTGATTTTTCTATTTTATATATACCTCTGTATTGTTGAGAAAATTGTTTTACAATGAGGATGTATTACTTAAAGTAAGTTTTACTTACTGGTTACCTTTGATTGATTTATAATTATTAAACTCAACTTTCTATTTTGTTTTATTGCCCTTGATATCTATAGAATCTGTACAAGGCAAAGGAAAGGGTATGGACCAGGAAGTCAGGTAGACTCCATCTAAATAATGGCAGAATGAGTTAACCTCTCTGAGCCTCTGTTTCCTGCTCTGCACTCTCAAGGTTAATAATCTCCAATCACCAATCACCAATACTGGTGTCAGGATTCCATTGTCCATATGAAAGCTCCCTGAACTCAATAAAGTTGATTTTCTTCCTTCCTGTGATGTTTTAACTCCATGATTTAACCTTAGTATAAATTATGCCTGAGATTTAAAAAGGGACAAATATTCCCACATACATTAGTCTCAGTGGGGAGTCAACAAAAGTGCTCATAAAAATACTTTTCAGTGAAAGGCAGCTCCAGACAGGAAGCTTTTGTTGGTGAGGAAAGACTCTGGAAGGCTGTTTTAGGCACTTTTATAAACTATATTCCTATTCCAGGAAGGCTCCAAGCAAGGAGATTAGGGATGGGGTCGCCCCTGGTAAACTCACTGGTAATTCTGAGCCAATGAGCCAGAAACAAGACTTTCTGGGTCAGGGGTGGGGTGGGCAATTATCTCAACTCATCTAAAAGTCACTCTGTATGCTGTAAACTTGCTGCCACGAGAGGGTAAAAAACTGCCATATCTTGTCTTCCTCTGCATCTCAAACATGCAGTGATGAAACAGAGAATATAGTATGTGCTTACAAGATGCATATAATACTTTATAATCTGTTTCAATTTATTACCACCAAATACTTGTGATATGGTCACAGTCTGTACCAATGAATGGTAAAGTCCACAGCCGACTTCGATTACTCACCAAACTGGTTTGTCCTGCAGTGTCTCAGGGTTCGGACCGTGTCTGCAATCATATGCTGGAAGGGAGAGCAGGAAACATATCAATGGAAGGTCATTTAGGGTGTTGCTGAAGTAGCAGTGCCTGCTAGGATGGAAGGATGTTTGCACCCTTGGGTGTAAACTGAAGAGCTATATTTGGAGCTGGACTTAACTTTAATTGATAATATTGTGCTTGGATTACAAAAGAATATTTAGTCCTTGTCTGTAGAAACAGTGGTTCCCAGACCTGGTTGCACAGATTCTAACTGAGCCTCAGGAAAACACATTGTGAAGAAATTCAGCACTCCCATCCCCTAACCACCTGTACCAAATCTGCTTAGGCATTTCACTTCATGGGATGTTTTACCTTCTCTCCATGAAGCCTTTCTGAGATCTCCCTTCTGAACTTGGGAGGCTCCATTCTCAACATCCCCGCTATTCTTTGCGCGATATATACTGGATGTGTGTTGTCATCATTGCTGTGGATCTTTTCTCCTCCTCTAGACCAGATACCACTAGAGGACTTTGCATGCCCAGCCTACCATATGTCACATACATTGACTCACACATACTTGCAGAATGGAGGTAGGAATTTTTGTGGAATCAAAGACTCAAGAATCTCAAATGGTGACGGGAAATGAGATCTTCATGAAAAGACAAACATTTTCTAAAACATCATATCTTTACAAGACTGTTTATAATTTACATTCCCTCCTACAATCTTCAGCATTCCACTTTAATTTCTTTCTTTAAAGTTCTCACTGGTCTCCAGACAGTTTTCTTAAACTTGCAACTGCTTCTGACAAGATCCCATCACCTCATACTTGTGTCCTACACAATCTTCTAGCTCCATCATTCTTAGTTTTCCAGGATGAAGGAAAGATAGCATTTAGGACAAGACCATTCTCCACTACTGTTCCTCCTAAACAGTTGCCAGGATAATCTCCAAACCCTGTTGTCATCATCATGTTCTAGTCCTCTGGAAAGTCTACAGTGACTCTCTACTTTGTTTCATATCAAAATCCAAACATCATCCTATTATTCAAGAATCAATATTATTCATTATCTGGTCCTCCAAACCTCTCCAAATGGGTCATCATCTTTCATGTCCTGCTTATACCCACTGGACACAGGCTCATCCATATACAGCAAACCCTCAATAAATTATTGCTAAAAGAATAATATTAATACTATTTTGTTTTTACTTAAAATCCAGCAGAACTACAGAAACTATTTGAATATGACCTACTTATTAAATTATTCTCACAACTGTATTTCTACTCAATAGTGGAAAATTAAATAGGACAGTGCTTATAGCACTGGCTCAAGCTGCATTTGCAAAGGAAATGAGACCTGACTCATGTCTGTGAATGTATTGTTAAATTTCCTTCCCCAAATTTTACCACTATTCCCAAAACAGTTCTCTCGTTGTTTTAAGCTATGGCGTCACTTGATTTCTATCATGTGCCATTTGTGTAGCTCATGCAAGGCTCAAGCTGACTCGAGGCTCAGTACTGAGTGTGGCATTGAAACCTGAGTCATGATCCTCATCTTTAGGCTTTCTGAAGGAGGTGGGAGGAAGATGTGGTAAAAGATGATGCATTTAACTTTGAGGGATAAAGAGAAGAAAAGGCGAAAGCATTTGTTTCTTCATTATTTAATAGTTTGAGACTGAAACATTTAGAGTTGCTGAGGCAGCATAGGGAACAATGGAAATCTTATTAGACTCAGTGAGCACTTCTGGGTCTTTGTGTCATCTGACTTAATGTGTTGGCCTGTATCAGCCAGATAAAGATAATACACTGAATTATCGGCTAGCTGGCTTAAGCTAATATCCATCATGAGGAATCGGCTTCTCACAAGTTAATCCAGTTAGGTTCTATTGGCTCATTATTGTGAAAGATGGTCCTTTTTTAGTTTAAGTGAAACCCTGTCCTTTGCTAAGAAACATTCCTTGGAAATAGTGACTCGACTAGGGAATTCAGTTTCATTCTCCGGCATCCAAGTATAACATAGGGCTATATATAATGTGCAATATATTTTTGTCCTTCTAGAAAAAATTCTAACTTCACTCTGCCTTCTCTGTGCAAGGAAGGGGTCAGCATGAGGCATGCTGTATCTTAAGTGCCCTCTGCTTTCAGGACCAGGAACTCACTGATACTACAAAATCTGCTCACTTTAAAAATGATATGCTAGCAAGGGTCTGAGGGTGCATGTGTGTGCTATGGGTCTGCTGTGTGCATGTATAACTGCACTTATCTTCTAGCTATCTTTTTAATAAAAGTTCTCTTCAGGAATTTAAAATTTCAAATAGAATATTACTTATTTATGCCATGTTATTTCCTTAAACTTGCTGAAAGAATTAAGGGTACAGACAATTATTGACCCTAATAGAAGTACCACGAGTTAGACTTTGTTTCAGTCCCAGTGGTTGCTTTGAAGTCTTGGCATATATGAAAGCAAGACCCTAGACTACACTAGCTGGCATTAAAAGGCTTCCACTGGATTGTTGGAGAAAGCAGGGGAAGACCAGAGGTGATCAGAATGAAAGAGAGAAGGGTGTAGGAATCTTTCCATTGCTCTTTCCCATTTGTGCCTTTAATTGAATTGTTCTCACTTCAGTAGCACCATCTGAGGGGAAATGACATAATGAACTTAACCAAACCTCTGATTCACCTTGGGGAGAAGATCAACCACCAGTCTGCTCTTAACAATAGACAACAGTTAGCTTATAAAGGGTACAATTGTTCTCCCATGTTCCCTCTGGGGAAAGTTACCAGACCTTTATAGGGAATTGCATTTGGTGTGACACACCTTATCCCATATCTTCACACATGTTCTCTAAATGTGTTGGCCAGGATTTGAAGTAATATTGACCAAAGGCTTCATATTCCTGCAGTCATTTCATTAATACCAAACACTGGAGATTAACCTGCCTAGAGACTAGAATGTTAGTGCCTACAGCCTTTGGTTACAAATAAGTGCCCTGTGATCTTCAGAACATTACACAGTGACACAGAACAAATCTCTAAAGAATAAGTACAAAAACCCAACTCTTTAAATACCCATTTCTGGCTGTGTTGGTTTGACCGTAGTATCTAAAACAACTGAGCTCAGATTCCAAAGCACTTAGTGCAGAGAGAAACTTGAAAAATTACAGACAAATCCACTTTAAAAATAACTAGCCATGAAGTGATCGTCCTCAAGTGACTGAAATGGAGCGATGGGAAGATAATCCAAGATGTCTGTCTTCCAGATTCTAGGGGCTTGGGTTTTCAAGTTGTACAGTGGTCCTATCTGCCTCATCCTATGTGTGGCAAGTTAACCTGACGATTAGAGCAAGGCCTTTATGAGGCAAAGGTCAGATGCCAAACCTCGTTTGGACTCATCAGTTTGTACTGTTCTTTGGTCATGGTCTGTGGCCCCCGCCTCACTCAACCTTTTCTCAAATGCCTGACTCAGTCTCACAGGGAACTGGGGGTCAGTTCCTGAGAGAGTTCACACAAATCCATTAGCATTACTGAAAAGGTCACTCAAAGGTCAGAATCTATGGACAGGGGTCACCGGTATCATCTTGAACCATGAAGGATAGTCTAATCTATGACACTAAAGTTCATCTGTCAGACATCCATTCTTCTCTAGTCAACCAGGTCTCTTTGAGCACTCCTCTTTTACAGTGGCTCAGTTCTTAGGGGCAACTCCTCCTCTGCCAGAGGCCAGTCAGAAAGGCTAGAGGAGTCCACTGCATGACAAAGCACCTGGGAATGTCTCGGAAATAATTCAGGAAGAGGCATTTCAGTAACTTGTAAGAAAAGATTGATCGGGACCTCTCACTATGAGCAGGGAGGGCACTTTGCCAGAGCTGCTCTCTCCAGTGGCACCATTTGTCCACAGGTGACAAAGGGGTGGTCCTTCCCCTCGCATGCAGACCCTACAAATGCCACCTTCATATCCAAGCTGGGAGCAGGGAGATGGACACATCTCCCCAGAAGAAGCGCTTTCTCCCGTGCCTCGGAGGCAGGGCATGGTGAGACATAGAGACATCGAGAGATCCCTTTAAAGCAGTAAAGCTTAACCTGACAAGTGTGAATTCCTCCCAACGGGAACCTTACAGTTTTATTTCTGGTTCAGTAACATACCCTCAACCACTGATGTTAATCTAATGAAGTTCCATCTTCAAAGATAAAAAGCAGATTTTCATATTTGGTTCTCAAAACCTTGGTAGCACACTTATTTTTATTTTATTCATTCATTCATTTATTTATTTTGTGAGGAAGACCAGCCCTGAGGTAACATCTGCCAATCCTCTTTTTGCTGAGGAAGACTGGCCCTGAGCTAACATCTGTGCCCATCTTCCTCTACTTTATATGGTACGCTGCCACAGCATGGCTTGACAAGCGGTGAGTCGGTGCGCGCCCGGGATCCGAACCGGGGAACCCCGGGCCGCTGCAGCGGAGCGCGCGCACCTACTGCTTGTGCCACCGGGCCGGCCCCAGCACACTTACTTTTAATTGGAATACATTTTACTGACAATGCACAACATGCAGCAGCAAATAAGCTCCTGGAAATCAATGTGGAGTCAATGGGGAAAAAGTACTTAAACCATTTGTTTCTCGGAGCAAGAGAGAAAAGTATACAGTTCCCTTACAGTGGGAAAGAGGAGAAATAATGAAATTTACATACCAGCTTTTCAAAATTGACAAGATTATCCAAAAATGTTTTATTTCCTTCATGAATAAATGTTACATCTGAAAATTAAAAATAAAAAGATACCATTAGGAATGGATCATGAGTCAGGGCTGAAGAGGTCGAGATGCCATGCAACTTATTAATTTTTCTTAAACATTATGGATTATTCTATGCATTTGACAAAGGAGGTTGAATTGAATCTGTATAGTATTTGATGTGAAAGGGCATAATTTATGTTTGTGTGGGGAGAAAACATTATAACATTAATGCAAGTATATATTTTGCACTTACAATGAAGTGTTTGACTTCAACCTGCTTAATATAAGCCAACACTATTCTATAACTTGACCAGTCCATTATGTTTTTAGGTCAGAACATTGAGCAGAAAAGAACTGAATATCCAGAAACAACAGGATTTTAATATTTATGTTTAACAATCCTGGCAAAGTGTATGGGACTTGTTTTACTTAAAATGTTAAGATTTAGATTTAGATGTTTAAATTTAGATTTTTTGGTTTTCAAGGCCAGTGCCTGATTGTGTATCAGAAGTGAGTGAGGAAAGCGACAGGTTTGAAAATGGCAAGTCTTCTGGCCCTGTTCAACCAGTAGAAAAGAAAGCATCATTGATAAAAATAACACAAGCAAGGTAGGATGCAGGGACATTTTCCGAGGAAAGGAAAGTTACATTTGGTTTGAGCCTCACTGCATTTAAAGTGACAGAAGACATTCAAATAAAAGTCTCCTTTGGGCTGCAATAAACACAGGAGTGCCTCCTCAAGAGATAGGGATTTGGGAATTAATTACAATCAAGACAGCAGCTGAAGTTCTGAGAGCGCATGATTTATAAAAACTCAGATAGAGGGTGAGTGACTGAGCATTAGGGAATCTCACAGACAAGAATCAAAGGAAAAAATACACTGCAATTAAAGAGCATGCAAATAATCATGTTCTATCACAGACAAAGGAGGGCAAAACAAATGAAAATAATTTTCCAAAAATCTCATTAAAATAACCTGATGTAAAACAGGGACAAGAACAGATTAAGCCTCCTATGAACAGAAAGGGAAAGCATTTGCGTTTAATCAAGACTTTGATTCTGCTGGTCCAGATTGGGGCAATTGAGGGATAGGTGCTCCTGAAACCTGCCTCCAACACACCAGCGGCCGGGCTTTGACTGCCTGCCAGGGGGAGACACCAGTTACGTAGTTACACGATACACTGATACAACCCCTTCCTCAAGGCATCCTTTATACACAGCTTCCAGCAGGGACTGCAATGTTTCCCTAAGGTTTTCTTTTCTTTTTCTTTTTTAAGAATGTTCTAGCAGGAAAACAATTTAAAATGACACAGTCATCTGACAAATTCTCTGGTTATTTTATCATCTTTCGTGATCTTGCTTTCGGAAAATAATTGCAAGCTTTTATTCTGTGACAATATTTAGAAAAGAGCAGTCAACACAGATAGCTTTTACCTTTTTTGTATATCAAAGCACTGTGTGCGCTCTCGCCATTAAACACCACCTAAAAGCCTAGTCTCTCCACCTCCCCTAGAATTTGGCTATAAACACCCTCTCAGAGTCCATTTTCCCAGTGTTACAAGGTTTCTCATCCCCTCTCCTATGTTCCCAAGGATGATGATGAGGGGTGATGACAGTAACAACAGCTTATATTTATTAACAGCTTCAGACAAGGCATTAACTCATTTAATCCTCACAACAGACTATAAGGGAAAGCTCTAGTGGGAAAGAATGTGAAGAAACTATGGTCCAAAGAACATGCGCAGCTGGCCCACCATCACAGCTGTAAGTGTCAGAGCCAGGATTCAAACCCAGGGAGCCTGTTTCCTCTCACCACTGTGCCTTTCTGGTACCTCAAGTTGAAAGGATTTGGACATTTCTTATAACCAGTTACAGTCAACTTGCTGAATTTACAGCATATGGGCTGCCTCTGCAACTTGTGTTTCCTTCGTGGCTCCCTGTATCTGTTCTCTCTAATCTTAAGTCTCTCCTCTTCCCGGGTGGTCTCACTTAATCTCAACTCGCAGGGACTTGTAGAGGTTAAAAAGGAGGATGGCTGCTCTAGTGAGGGCAGGAGCTGTCAGGCTAATGCTGGTATCATGACAAGGCAGGGAACGTGTGTCTGGCCAGACGGGCAGGGAAGAGAGGCTGGAAGGGGCTGCCATCCTGGAGGAGGGGTTTCAAGTGGCTGAAGGTTTTGACACAGTTGAATGGCAGTTGTGTGATGAGGAAGGCATGAGAGAGAAATCAATGGGCAGTTGAGCTCAGAAACTGGGATCTCATTAAGTCACGGGCTGTCAAGCAGTTAAGAGTACCCACCAGGTTCCAAATGTGGGAAATGAGCACCTGCTAGGCCCCTTTCACCTGGAGACACCAGAACACACTCCAAATGCTTCATATACTAGAACTGCTGGATGAAATTACTCCATTTGAAGCGATGGCAAATGAAAGAGGAGGAAGAAATATACAAGCACCCAACATTCCTTTTATTTAAATATCCCCACAAATCGGCAATAATAATTTGCACTCTACGCTACACACACAACCCATGACGAGGACCTCAGTTTATTGTCAAACACCTGTTGATTATTCACTCCGTTGGAAGGGACTACCATCTCCAAACACACTGCATAAAATGGACTATTTGGCTGCTTCTGACATTTAGCTCAGCTGGATCCTTTCTCCAACACTTATTTATGGTTTCCCATTCACCACTTTCTACCAGATTCCACACTACAGTAGGGAGGAGAGTAAATCAAAAAACAAGAAATTCAACTGGGAAATAGGAAAGCCGATGGCTGGAAGGATCCTTGGGTTATGCACTTAGCTGATAATCTGCATGCTTACTGCAAATTGACTATCTCAAAAAATGAAGCATGGGAGGCCTAACCCTTCTTAACACCCAAGAAGTTCAGTTTGGTCCTTTTTCTCACCCAGATTGGAGGCACAAGGGTAGGGGGCGGGGGGAGTTTTCATTAAAAAGTTAGTTGCTCTAAGGAAGTTCATTGCAACTTTTTAAAATAATTTTGCAGTTTAAAAAACCTAAGAATTAATGTTGTTTATTTTTTCCAAAATGTCTTATCTCAGGCATGATATATACATATTTAAAATTTTCACACTCTTTTCCTTTGGAAATTATTTCAGACAAAAAAGGTAACTTTTAATATAATAGCATTCTATTGATGTTTATTTTTATATTGACAAAAAATTAAGATAAAGGAAAAATAAGTGCTTAAACTCAAGAAAGCTTCTAATGAAAAGAAGAAAAAGTTAACTTATTAGAGCGAATGAGTGAATGTATTTTCAGTAGAAAAAAGAAAAAATTTGTTTTGTTGCCAGAAGAGAAGTCTAGATAAACTCAGGAGAGCAGAGAATTGCATCCGAGCTAAGATGTAAGTGTGAGACACTTGACTACATTAAATTTTTTTGGGAGGAAACTACTCATGTATAGCAGAAAGCTCTGCTTATTTTTAATTAAGTTAAAGGGATATTGTCAACTAATTTCTCATTACCTTAAAAATATTTATTGTTTCAAAATTTTTTTCTTCCTAAAATCAATTCCTTTCCCACATTTGTCCTTGTTTCTTATTTTTCCTATTTGTGTCTAAATGATTTTAGAATCATTTAGATTCTAAATGTGTTACTAGCGTTACTTCCTACCTGCCACCCCTACTCTCTAGTTGAAGGTGTTTTATTTTGCAAATAAAAATTATAAACCTGAATAAACTCATCTTTTTTTTTTTTTGGTGAGGAAGATGAGCCCTGAGCTAACAACTGAGGCCAATCCTCCTCTTTTTTTTTTTGCTAAGGAGGATTGGCCCTGGGCTAACATCCGTGCCCATCTTCCTCTACCTTATATGGGATGCCGCCATAGCTTGGCTTGACAAGCAGTGTGTCGGTGCATGCCCAGGATCCGAACCTGCGAACCCTGGGCCACCGAAGCGAGTGCGTGCACTTAACTGCTGCGCCACGGGGCTGGCCCCCTGAATAAACTTATCTTAAAGGGAAATAAATATGAAGAATCAAATGAACTTTTAAATTGTTATTTTGGCATTACCATGCTCCTTATTTCATGCATTTACATTTAGCAGAATCTTTTCAGCTTGAATGAAGCATCCGTGCAACTCTCAATTGTCCTAATATATTATTGTTTCACACAGATTCTTGCTTTATGCTAGATGAAGACTAAACGAGGACCTGCAGGGATGCAGAGCAACTCAATAATTTTCCAAGCTCTGGTTGTTCTTGAGAGAAGCTGAAGAGGGAATATCAGCTCTATTGCCAGTGGGGCCGGCGATGGGGGTAGGTGGGGGAGGAGGATGGCCAGGCCAACCAGCAATTCAGGTCCTAGGTAACTCATTTCCAGAATCACATTTATGGGTTCAGTCACTGGGGCCTGACCCAGCAGAAGTTATAAGCCTCCGTAGGGCACAGGCTATATAAAAGAGTATTCCTATAAAATCCCTTGGAAAGAATGAAAATATAGCCAAAAAAAATGACCAATTCCTTTTTCCCTGGAAAGCACAAATGTAGGATATATACTGAATGTCAGGAGTGTAGGCCAGATTAAAAAGAACTCCCCTTTCATTAATCCCCTTAGTGTGAAAGAGACCACTGGGATCTCATTAGTAAATTAAAATAACACATTCCACGATGAATTATTTGGTGCTCGACAGAAGAGAAGTCTGTGGACTAACTTGGAGCTGTCATATTCCCAGATGGATTCCACTCCTGGAGAGAAGGAGGTACATCTCTACCAATGATTTTCATACACTGTACTGCTGTGTTGACCAAAGGTACTTCTCACACAGCAGCAGGCTGTGGGCTGTACCTCTGAAATTTAGGTTCCAAACGCAGAGCATGATTGATAACCATTTGGGTTCTTTATGCCAGTCTTATTCTTGGTTGAATTAAGTGGATTGTAAACTCCAAGAAAATAAGACAATGCTTAGAAGCAGAGTAAAATAAAAACACAAAAGTTTCCAGTGCCAAGTTTTGTGAGTGAAGTGAAAATGCTTTGATGTCTGCTCAAGTACAATGAAGTATTTTAGGCATCTCCGAAATAACTGAGCATTTGAAAAACAATCACAAGCAAACACAATTAGGTCTGAATGTCAAATCTGCTTTCAAGAAATAAATGGAGAGTCCTTTTTTTGCCCTCTATAGTTAGAGTGATAAATTTATGGAATATGGAATTACATAGCACAAAAGATAGAAAATTGTTACCTTTAAGCAATAAGGGCATGAAAGGGATTTTGGGTGGCTTCATCTTTTTGAACGCATCTCTGTAGGCTTTGTGATTCAGGGAAGGATCCTGCCAAACCAAGCAGATGACAAAGAGAAGGAAAAATCAATGTGCTATAGAAACAATTCTAAATCCACTTTTGCTATACAATTTGAACATGATTTAGATATCGGGGGTTCTTCCTAAGAACGAAGTAGATAAAGGTTTCCTAGGAGAATAAACTCACTAAATTAGGGCAGGAAATCTAGCCAATGAATGAAAGTCAAGTTATTGGTTTACAATAATGGCAGATGACTGCAAAAGAGAGACACCTTTTGATTGCCCTATTATTTTCCTCAAATAGGTTCTTTAAATACCATTTCCTCTGCATAATTTCTATCATGAGGTAACCCCAAAGTCTTTTGTTAGGTACACTGCAAAGAAAAACTGCCCTCATAATGCACAGACAATGCAGAGAAAACAAGAGAACACTGTTTTATCGTATTTTGAAAGGAAACTGTGTATTTTGTATCTAAATCTAAGAAATGGCAAAAAGGAGAAAAAAGGCATAACACACTGATTGCACACTAAATTTATACCAATTAATTTCATAGGCTTTGAAATGGACTATACTTAAAAATCTGCCTTCTGAAAATCACATCAAAAGAACCATTCTCACTATCTTTTTTCATGGAGAGGAAGAAGCATTAACTGTCAACTTACTTCACTCCACAAGAAGCAAAGCTAGGGGCCGGCCCCATGGCTTAGCGGCTAAGCGTGCTCGCTCCGCTACTGGCGGCCCGGGTTCGGATCCCAGGCACGCATCGATGCACTGCTTCTCCGGCCATGCTGAGGCCATGTCCCACATACAGCAACTAGAAGGATGTGCAACTATGACATACAACTGTCTACTGGGGCTTTGGGGAAGAAAAAAAAAAAGGAGGAGGATTGGCAATAGATGTTAGCTCAGAGCCAGTCTTCCTCAACAAAAAGAGGGGGATTAGCATGGATGTTAGCTCAGGGGTGATCTTCCTCACACACACACACACACACACACACAAAATAAAGAAGCAAAGCTACCTTTTCATATACAAGTGAACTAGTCTAAACTACCTGACACGGTGGAGTGCAGGGACTGGCCACTGAAATCTAGAAAGAAATCTGACACTAGCAATTCATTTGAAGAATAAGTCTCCTTTGGCTCAACTACTTACTGTTAAACTTTCAAGTTCAGAGAAAAGTTTCTTAAACTTCCCAGGGATTTTCTAAAAACAAAAAACAAAAAAGAAAAGGTCAAAGAAGTCAGTTATGTTTTGAGAGGCACTAAAGGGAATTTTCATTACGTTGTGCTTACATGTGTCACATTTCCAAACATAAATACCTCTATCGTCTGGTTCTACCCTGATTGCTTCTCATTATGCAATTTTCATCACCTCTTAATGGGACATTCCTTGGGAATGTTGCTAAAAACAGTTTAAAATAAATAACAGCCATATGATTCAGGAATCTAGCTGGTTAGACGTTCCATACACTGGTGATTTTTTTTTTTTAATAGTATATATATATTTTTTATTGATGTTTTAATGGTTTCTAACATTGT